TACATTGATGGCCTTAGAATAAGCAGTCCCTGGAATGTAGAGAGGCAGAGAAACAAAACCCTCCATAAATGTGAGAAAATCTTCAAGTATGTTTGCAGCAGGTGGATCCTCAGGCTCAATGCTCACCAAATTTTTCAGCATAATGTAAAAAGTTAGCTGCACACAACAAAATAAAAGTAAAGTACATTTTCATAAGTAACACATTAATAATCACAAACATACATGTAAACTTAGATGTATATATATATATAAAGAGAAAAGAATTAATAAGAGAACAATTGATAGATCATTCATGCCTCTTTGGCTTCTTTAAAGAAAAGCACTTGGTTTTTCGCTTTCCACGATTCGACTAACGAAACGCACAACTTGTCGACATAATCAAGAAAATCGGGCCTCGATTTTGAACCGTTTATGAACCCAACGGCTACGCTTCTAAGCTTCTTATGAAGATCTCCGGAGACCAACATCATCGAATGTTTACCAAGAATGTCGTGGATTGGCTTAGGATAACTGCTCCGAAAAAGCCTTTCCTCGTTCTGGAGTATGAACATGTTGAAATCGTGATCACACGAAACTATTGTCGGGCGGCCGAATAGATGGGATTTGAAGACTCTTCCATACCTTCTTACAATGATAAATTTTATTAGCAACAAATAACAATTTAAATCGAAAAAATGCATGGGAGTATATATTTAAATAATCTATATAATTAATTAATATACCTTGAGCAATGTTGTTGTAAGAAAGTGCCTGGAGAATTAGAATTGTGTGGCTTGAGAAAAGATAAAGTTTCTCCTAACAAAGGCAAGTAGAAGAAGATGCTTCCATTTGGTGTTGTTAATACTGTTGCAGGTTTTTGTCTGAAAATGGAGACTTTGAAAAACTTGCAGCAAATTGCAGTGAATAATCCCAACAAAAAAGCCAATGCCATAGGCAAAAATGCTGCTGCTGCAGCCATTCTTTTTTCTTTTTTTTCTATTTAATTAGTGAGAGTCTCATGAAAATGCAGCTAATGTGATGTGCAACCTTTTGGAAAAGTATGTTGAGGTGTGTTAGGCTTTAGATGTATATATATTTATATATATAGCTTTAAATATTAGATTTTTTTCTTTAGTTAGAGTGTGTCATTTTATAATATATAATAATAATATATGTATGGAATATTTCCAACTTCCTCTCAATCTATGAACATGTGATTGGTCACATTGTTTATATGGTTTGATAATAAAGAGTAGTGTTTAATGTGTTATTTATTAATTAGGTCCTATCTATATATCCTGACATTGAATTTGCCTTTTACAAGTCAATTGAAAGAAATTTATTCTCCACTCATGATTTTAGTAATCTTCATATTAGATGTTTTAGTTAGTTATAAAGAGTGGTGTTAATGTGTTATTTAATTAGGTCCTATGTACGTATCCTGACATTGAATTTGCCTTTAAGAAGTCAATTGAAAGAAAAAAAAAAAAAATCTCTACTGATGATTTTAGTAATCTAGATTTTAGGGGGCGTATTCAATTGAGACTCTTAAGGACTTTTTAAATCTTTTTAAATTTGTTGACTTTTGTAGACTTTGTAGAACATTCATGATTTTTATGGACTTTTGAGACTTTCAGAAAATTTGCATTAGTGACTTTTTAGGACTTTCATAGTGGACATTTTTAAACTTATTGAGACTTTTATATACTTGTAGTTATAATATTGTGTTTGAATAAACTATTAATAAATGTAGCATAATAACTAATATAAAAAAGAATAAATGAAAAAGAGATGTATATATTAATCAACTAAAAATTTATGAATCAACTCATTGTTATGCAAAATGAGTTATTCAAAAACAAATTGTTTAGACTTTTAGATTTATTAAACGAGTAAATCGATCCGAGCTTCAACGAGTCGAACTCGAGAAGGGCCTTATATTTGTTTGTTAAAAGAGCACATGCTCAAATATGTGTTAGACATCTCAGCTACAGCGACACTTATTATCAACCCAAATTAATTTTTCATAATATTGCTATATTAGAAAAATATTGTTAGGATATATTTTTTCAAGATATAAGCATTGCCGAAAAGCAGTAATTGTATCTTATAAAGTTATCAATAATATTCAAAATAATTTAATATCAACAAATAAACTAATTCATAAAATAATTTTTTTTATTATTTTGAAAAAGACATTTACAAATAAAAAGAGGGAACAAATAAATTATTTACAAGTGCAAACTATGGAAGCATTAACCTTTGAAAAGTCAAATTCACAAGATAACATAATGAGAGAATAAAAGTATACACACATAAAACAGCATAATAAAGAATATATAAAATAAAAGATCACATTAATATACGTAATCAAAATAAAAATTATACAAGGTATAGTAGAGCATGAAAGTGGTATTAGATACAAAGTCGTGTTAGAAAGAAAAAAATAGAGAGCGTTAAGAGAGTCACATAAGTCCAGCAAAATCTCACCAATATTGATGAGATTTCTGTTGAGACTTTTTCTTTGTAATTTTGTTTCAAAGTCTCTAAAAGTCTCATAATTTAAAAAGTCTCATAAAATCTTTCTGTTTTGAATAACGGGTAACTTAGAAAGACTCTCATAAAGTTTTAATTAAATACACTGAGACTTTTAGAGACTTATTAAAAGTTTTTAAAAGTCACAATTGAATACATGTAAACTTTTCAGAAGTCTCTAAAAGTTCTAATTGAATACACCGGAATTATGAAAGTCTTAAAAAGTCTCTAAAAATTGAAATGGAAAGTTTTAATTAAATACACTTGAATTCTAATTGAAAGTTCTAATTGAATACACCAGAATTCTGAAAGTCTTAACAAATCTATAAAGTCTCAAGTTCTAATTGAAAGTTTTTAATCTAATCGTTCTCCTTCCATTGGCATTGGATGGCAAGATTGAATGAAAAAGGGGCTTTTATTTATTTTTTTTTATTTTTTTTTTTTTT